ATCTCTTTCACACCTTTCTGCCAAGTTAAGTGCTGTCCACCTCGCGGTTTGTGTCATCCTGAGGGAGGCACGGAGAACAACACTCGTCTCGGCAGACGGTGTTTCGGCATGCGTGGCATATGACCGAGCCATCGTAGTCGATGATGCTGGATGTTTTCCTTTGCCAAGCCCAGCGAACCAACCAGCATTCAACGAATCTTTTCCTATCTGAGGTACTGCCGATTCCTTGTCGGTTAAGTCCGTGAGAGCTTTACTCAACCACTGAACTCTTTAATTGCCCTAGGCAGATTATCTTACAACACGTTGTTTTAATTCTGTAGTTCACTTACTGACCGAAAAGTCCTCTCCTCTGCCCTCGTGTAGGCTTTGGCAATCTCGTAGTGTTTCGACTCCTCATGCTTCATTTGAGTTACACGGTAGCTATGCGTCACATAAAAAGTGCTACTATTAATAATATTATTGTAAATCACTTATTAACGGCTTGCAACATCACAGATGACTGGTTATTTTCAAACAGATCACTTTTTCAAACATGAACAGAGTAGGTTACTCCTCGCCGAGCCGCAGGGTTATATAAAAAAGGCGTTGTTACGGGTAGGAAGAACTTACTTTACAGCAAATTATTTCTGTAGGTGCCCCGCATTGTTGCTGCACATCAAGGGCGGTCGGAGGTCAGACACACTCCGATTGAGACGCAGTTCGGGTCGCAGCAACGAATCCCCTACACTAGCAGCCGCTTCATGTCTGATTTGATGGTGTCGGTCCACGTTTGTAGTTACCTTCTCACACCGCACCACTGTACTGGGCCTGGTGAACGAGTCGGCGCAAGTATACAGAGTTCGATTCACTGTTTTCGAACGACATGATCGAACCCTTGAAGTGGATATCCCTGAACTGATTTCCCGGGATTTGAGAAGTGTCCCCTAACCGTCAAATCGCCGAATCACCGGAAATTGGTGACCCAAAACTATGATTATATGAACATTTTCTACTCGTGACGGCCAATATTAAGTAAGGAGGGGCCCCGTCGATGTTTTAACTGGGCGGGTCACCAAAAGGTCTTCATGCGCTGCTTCGAGAGAGATGTTTTTGGCACGCGCGCGAGGTGGTGTCGCTGCACCTTAATGGCCAATTTTCGATTTCATGCCAGCGCATAGTTTGACTCTTGGTCACAGACCCTCCGGTTTCGGCTGACAAGCTTCCGTTGCTGATGCCAATCGAGATCTTGTCGATTCAAGGAGGGATTTGGCGGTCATTCGAATAACGCGTCAGAAGATCCTGTTCGGGGTTCAGAAGGAACATGCCTTCGGAAGCGGGCTGTTTGACCGTCAGTGTTCTCGTACCGTTATCCTGAAGTGAACCTTTTCAGAATATGGCAACGGATTTCAAGTCACCGACTGACGGTATGTTGCACCCAAGTATCTCGTCAATCACGCTTTGCGGCCCATCACAACTTACTTTAAATGGTGAAACCTACTGAACAAATGGTTCCTAAGGTAATAACCGCAGTCAGTTTTTATTGAGGCACGTCGACGGTGAACTACCGTAATCCTTTACGAAACTAGTTTGCAAGAAATGGACAGACTGTGGGGTGTGGCTGCTCAAAGCAAGGACGACCTCATTAGGACCCGAGTTGTCCACTAGACCGCCGCAGTCGAACCATCAATAATCGTTCGTTTTCGGTACTATGACTCGTGTACTACCGGAGTTTCGCATTCTAGACTTGAATGGGCCTGTGATGTATAAGAGTAATCGGCAAGACCGCAGATAGGTCTTATCTATCAGGAAGGTCAGATTCCTGAATGCCCGAAATCTACTGAGACCCTCAACTCCACTAGATGTTAACCAGGCAGACAACACCCCCTCAGTATGCAGCGTGCGACAGCCTTGTATCAAATGCAGGGAGGGCGAGACAGCGTTGGACCAAGTTCAGACAGTGTACCCTCCAACAAAATGGCTTGAGGCCGTTGTATTTTCGCACTCATGCTCTCGCACTCGCCTGTTCGGAATAAAGCTGTTGTGTTCCCTTCGGCGATTCGTCTTTCCGGCACTAGGCACTGGAGCGGGGTCAGCTGTCAGATACAACAGACTGGAGAATCAACAAGATATAACTTTATCTCTGACTATCGTCACTCAATGGAGTGCTCACATTTCTGGAACCAATATATGCACGTCTTCTTGTGTTGAGTGCCCCTCGCTATTTGGCATGGCTTCTCGAAACAACTTGCATCGCTTAAGTTCACTGATTGGAACGTAATAAAGTAGAACCGGGAGCATGTAATACTCAAGGCGTACCCAACGTCGCTTGCCTTTTGTTCAGGGACCCGCCTCCATTCTTTGCCCAGCCCAGTGCAGTCTGCTTGTAAGTTTTCGAAAATTGTTGAACATTACCGACTGTTAGTTACTCGCATTTGCCCAGTCCAGTTGAACCGATACGAGGTCGCACCGCAGTTGTTTTGAAATCAGGGCAACCGATAGAATGCGGGCCGGGCTATGGTGCCTGACACCCTTCCAGCCCGGTGGAAACTGCCTTGGGTAGGCAATTAATAAGAATTTCCATCAGAGGCTGTCTATTGGCAAGTGTCTTGAATGCATTTCGCGCGAGACGAAGAACCTGCGGTCTTTGGAGGTAGTTACGGTGATCGGACATCCTTACCTGTATGCGAAAGTGTACAGTGGGAGAAGATAGTCTCCATCTGTCTACTCATCTTTCGGTTTTACTTACTGTTTTTCAGGTTCACATCTAGGCTTTCGCATGTTTTCTCTATTTTTCGGACACTATTTATTCAGGTTTCATTCGCGACTCACCTACTAAAAGCTAGTAGTCACGGTTTTGCATTTACCCTGACATTCGTCTCTGTTACGTATCGAATTGTGTCGACTGATTATTTCACTTCCGCGTGCTCTCGTGTGGCGCAGCGTGAGTTACTACGATCTTATTGTTCTGGCCAATCACCAACCGGCAGTGTCGTTCCATTCTATCCTGTCCTCATGTGACCTGCGTTGAGGTCATAGCAGGCTGATCAAGTTGCGCCATTCGTTTGTGTGTGTGTATGTGGGGGGGGGGGTACTTGTTCTTGTTCGGCCTAGAAACTCGATAAATACGATTCTCGTTTCTAAATCGTTTGGGCTCCTTCAGCGGAACATGAGAAGACGTGAAAAATTAACCGTTATGAGAATTCAAATGGCCTGTTTGAACGTCCTCTCTGTGGGTCCCAGCCTATGAACCTATTGAGGTAAACTTGACTGTATTTAACAAGCAACAATGCGAGAAACGCTTAGCTGCACAGTTTCCTGAACAAACTGATCGTGCCATCACCTCCAGTTCTTGGCTGTATTTCTCACACCTTACCATTTTCCGGTACCAGCTGGAGCCAAGCTACCCTTAGTAGCTGATAAACTGAACTGAACTGAAGTGCGAAAAACTTAGAAGAGGGTACCGGTGCCCATGTATTGGAATATTGGTCATCGGAGCACCGGGGCGAGATGGCTCAAGTGGTTAGGGCGCGAATTTACTGACCGAAAGGTCTGTGGTTCTAACTCGACCTCAGCCTCTCGACTTCCCTTTCGGTGTCTGGCCGCCATGCCACCCGAAGGGAGCTTGATGGCTGAGATATTGTCAGGTTGCCAAAGCCTAGACAGGAGCAGTCGAGATGCTTGGGGGTCGCGTTCGAACCACGGACATTCCGGTCAGTCAGTTCACCCCTTAACCACTGAGCTCATACCTAACTAAAGGCTGTTAATCTCTGTTACATCCAGAATGAAAATACAAAGTCACAAATATAAAAGCCTTTCTTTAAAAGAGTGGGTTGCATGAAGGTCGTCTGAATAAGGATGTCCATGATCTCAGTGGATTAGACTTATCACATCTGCACTACTTTCATCAACATAGTTTGGAATAACCGATCGACTCGCTTTCTGCTCGTGAGAAAATTTTCTATCAACAGGAATAGTGTCCGAAATTGTTTTCAAACAAGTCTACCACGTCACCAACTACACGACAGTTCTGAAAAATTGGTATCCACTCTTCGAACACACTTTATCGCTATTTCTTGTCCTCACGGCTCAGCCATGGCTCTTGTTATCCAAGCAAAGGCCTCCAATTCTCGTCACCCAATGTGTAGCATCATTGCTGATTCGAATGACGATTTTCGTCAGACCTGTCCAAACAATCTCTGAGGTCGGATTCTGTCTAAATGCAACCAAATTCTGGTTCACAACCATCCACAGAGAAGTAGCATTTGATCGCTATGCGTACGTGTTCTTGTGTTCTTGTCATTTTTTGGTTCACACAACTCCGCCCCGATAGACGATAATTGCTTCATTGTGGCACTACCGTCTTCAGATGGGCACATTCGGAGTGCTGGTTTTTGAGACACACGAAACAAAATGAAAAAATAGATAGACCGTTGGAATAGTTTCTTTTCAAGATCTACATATATACATATATATATATCAACATTACTTCTTTGAAGTATGGTGGTGAAGCAGCATTTATCACGGTATTGTATCGTGGGTGGCTGTCTATTGGTAACGCCTGCACTGAGCATGCCAGACTATGCGATAAGGAGAACACAGAGGACTCGGGACATGGCTGTATTGTCAGGACAAAACATGCAGAGCTTCTGCGTAAATAAATATAGGATGACTACAGGACCAGATATTGTCGTTCACTTGTTCGCTCTGTATAGCCAAGGGTGGTGTTCCGTTCGTGAACACTTTCAGGCCCACTCTACTGGTCTTATGTTGCTAAGCCGTGTTTGGTGAGCTCCGCCAACGCACCTACTTTCCGAACGTGTCGTATCGATGGTTACCTTGGGGATGCATCACACTCTGCACATGTACTTTTTCCATGTCTGGGCGCGTCCTGACAAACGGCTATTACTGTTTGTGATGGGGTGACAAAAGAGGAAAACTTCACGGAAGAGCGCCTAGCGCATGGTTTATTTGTTGCGTCATCATCTTCGACAGCATGACATCAGTGTTCAACACCGATGCTTCACTGCCGTACAACCGTGATTGATTTGAAAGCCTTACGGTGAAGAAAAGAAGGGGAAGGGGCTTAGTGCTAGCTTCCGAGGCGCCTACACCTCCAGACACTCATTCAGACAGTCTAGATAGAGACTGACAACACGAACGCCATGGACATCGGTTGACAGCCATATCTTGCAGCGTCCCTAACCGGGCGAAGTGCAGATCCCCATACAATGAACAAAGCCTTAGTGAGGCTTACATGCTGCGCACATTGACTGCGACCGCCCGCCTGTTGGCCAATTAAACCTAAACGCCTCCCTAAATATCACAAACGTCCCTTAGGAACGAAATCGTCCTTACCCTAACTTTTATGGCAAACCAACGTTCCACATCAAATTTGCCTCGTCTCAGATTGGTTTAGGCTGGAAACTTTCTTCAGCAAAGGTTACGCGTACCAAAAAGTCTCCTTGATTGCGTGCTTTACCATCTGAGCCGGTCGTCCTGTTCGTCCGATAAACTGCGTCGACACTTTGCCAGGTGAATGACTGTGCCGTCCTTCTGGCGTTTTCTTGTACTCACTATGCAGGCTACACCGTAACACACTCATGGTGTCTTCCTTACTAGTGAACGATTATATGAGAGAGAGAGAGAGAATCATCCCGCCCTTCAGCTGCTCAAGGTCGACCGGTTAAGTATCCGGAAGGTCACGAGTTCAAAACTCTTAGTTTCGAGAGATGCGTAGTGCTGGCAATTTCCAATAAGCATGAAACAGCTGTACAATACTTTTCGACATGAATTGGCCTCACTGACAGGTCGAAATCTCACTTGAAGATTACACGTTAGGTGGAAAAATTGCGTACGAACGGCTGAATTCAAGGGTTAAAATGGCATTTGTTTTATGCACTTGGTGGGCCAGGAACTATCATTTCCACTCGGTGCGAACAATCACCCTGCTGGTTTGTTGTTAATTTTTAATCTCCAGGCCATCTGTCAGTGTTCGCGCAACGTATGCTCTACATCCGTGTAATTTGGCAAACGAATAACACATTTATAAGAATCCTGCGGTCATCAGTATCCGAGCGGACTCCTAACTAACCCTTGGGAAGTAAAACTGTTGCCACACGTAAAAAGATCAACTCATTCGGGCGGAATTCCGAAAAGATACAGGGGGAAAATTGCTCGAAAAAACTTGGGCAATTTTCACAGTCAGAGAAATTATCCTGTTTCGCATCGGAAACTTCATCCTCGCGGAATTTCCGCCAACGAGCCAGGATCACGTAAGGTTTGTGAACATTATCCGAAAGTTAAGCAGCAATCAACAGAATTAGGTAGATCCGATTTGTCTAAAATCTTGTCCATTTTATGCACACCACATTGTGTTGTGGACAACCTTCATTGGGAAAGTTCATTCTTTGATTTACTCTACTTCACTGTCAACAAAAAGAAATCTTGGAAGGTTTCACCACCTCAGTGAGGCTATTGATGTACAGTAGTCGGTCAGTTGTGATTTGTTATTCGGACCGCCGATATTTGATGTCAGCCTACTGTAAACGGCGCGACCAACATACAAACATTCGTCAGGTCACACACATAACAGGTGGTGTACAACTTTGAGCGGTGGTGTGATTGACTTTCACTTGTTCCGCCATTGCTATTGGCTCAGTCACCTCATCTGTACTCCGGACGGCTCCCGGATGCACCCAAACAAGTCATTATTTACAGAACTGGCGAATACTCAGGGAAATACGTGTGCAATCTTGCATCAGTGAAATTCTACCTCGGTGTACCAACCATAGATTGATTCATGACTGTTTAGAAAAAAAACTAATGTTTAACCTTCTGATACATGGAAATTAATCTTTCACTTTGTCAATGTATCGGGTGCGTTTACTGGTGGTTTTTAATCAGATGGCCGTTGATCTGTTCGCCGAGCTTGAGTGCACTGCGCACCGACGTCTCCTCGACTAGGGACGAAACATTTGCAAGCTCAACGAACAGTTCAACGGCCACCTGAGCAACCATCAGTACACTGTCAATTTCCGTGCTCGAGTGTTGCTTATTTTGGGGGAGAGACCCTTGGATAGGCGACACGATCAGAGGAACGATCGGAGCATTCCAGAAGAGTGTTTTTTAAACACCTTTCTTCCCCTGTAGTACATCTCTTACTTATCCCTACTGAGTAATAAACCTTGATACCGATCCGTGTGCAGTTGTTCTTCGTGGACTCGGGCACGACTTCCACCTCTTTCCAGCGCAAGATTTTGTAAATAGTCCCGTCACTTGAGTATTTTTGATGCAGCAACAGATAATTACTGTTCGAACCAACCTTTTAGCGTCATGGTGAGATAGGGATGGGTTTTCCCCCGGAATAAGCGGTCTTACGATAAATTCGATCTGCGCGGATTTTCAGCGGTAAAGTGAGTCATGGAGTTGATGCTTATCTTGGAGAATGTAAAATCCTTAAAATAGCTATTTGTGAGTCAGGGGGGGCTAAACACCTGATAGTGTGATCACTCGTCATTTGCTTAGTGCGATCGATTAGATCAACCAGGCCCTGTGATTTGATGCGCGTCACCAGTTAGCTACATGACTGTTTGCCAAAAACCGCGACGGAATTTCGCTGTAACTTCACAGTCGATAGAGAATAGAATGTTTCGTCAGTTGATATGCAGGGGAACTACGGCCTGGGTATGGTGAGATAGACTTCCCAGGATTTTGTTATGACACTGTTTCAGATGAGGAAATTGTTGACAAGGTAGATCTAACACTCCTTCATGTTATCGGAAAAGTTTGGGAACAATCGGTTGTTACAAGGCAGTATCTTGATAGTTCACTAGTATGTTCGTCTGGTCATGGGAGACTTCTCGTACAATCGATAATGGATTTCCTCTCCTAATCTTTGCACCTGCTGTTTGTCACGTGCATTCTGGGCTGCGTGCTGCGTTGCTGTCAGTTGGCAGTCCCATTCTCCGACTTGTTTTACATTCCGCGACACTGAACACTGATGTATTTTCTTGGGTTTCTTCCTACCGCAACAGACCAATCAGATGGGGTGCCTGACTAGGGCGATTGCTACCATACTTTGATTCTGTTTTGATCGATACGGAAGATTGCGTCCTCTCCACCCGATAGATTGCCTCTGCGTCAAAGCCTGGACGCGCTTCTGTGAGGCATAACTCATGGAAAAGCTTGTCACTCAAGATTTTTCGGGGTCGTCGCTAGGCTTATGGTGTAATTTCGAATTGCTCCATTCTTTCTGGATCGCAGCATCGGTCACGCGGTGGTGTTTAGTTCCCAAGCCGACGGTCAATATTAGTCGGTTATGGTGACGGACGACTGCGTCGAAGCTCTGCTGGCCAGATCATCTCAGTCCGGGTGGAAGCATCCTTGTCTGACCGGTAGTAGGTTAATGAAACTTGAACCCGAGAATTTCCAAAGCAAAGCTGTAGCGATTAGCGAACAGTTCGAGTGTGAATTAGATGTTTCCGTGCAGACATACAAACCCAGTGTGTATACATCGCGATGGTGCTTGCTCTCGACCGAAACCATGGAGTAATCTGTCGCTTTGGTGAAATGATGACCAGGTCGTGGTACGGTGGTAGCTGGAAACTGGTCTAGTAGGGTTCTCTTGGCTACCAATTCATTTAGTCGACCGTCTTTGTGTGTGTGTGTGTGTGTGTGTGTGTGTGGGTCATTCTTTACCCAACCAGTGGTAAACTACTGGTGGCTGCAGTACTTTTTGTGTCCTCCACGGGTGGGTTCCATCATAGATGAAAAACAAAACTTCCACGTGTACAATGAATGACTTCTGTAGGATGGTGCCATTTCGATTGATAAGATGGGTGCCAAATTTGGGGTATACTTTGTTGGATTAGCTCGTACACAGCTAGGTAGATTTACTCTGGAAGCGATTGGTTCTTATGACTTCAGGCATGTCGTTCACTGTCTCTGTGATCAGGATTCGGTTGCAGCTTCACATATTGCTGTACTGATTCCGTTCTTCAGCTCCCACACACCTGCGACGAAGCCGTGGCCGAAGTTTTGAAGATATGATCCCTACAATAGCCTTCTGATATGTAGGATGTTCATACGCAGATGCCGCTGTCCGTTTTTGCTCAGACTCAGGAATCCTGATGATCGAGATGGCCCAAGTGGTTAGAGCGCGAATTTACTGACCGGAAGGTCCGTGGTTTGAACCCGACCCATGCCTCTCGACTTCCCCTGTCTAGCCTTGGGCAACCTGGCACTATCCCAGCCATCGTGCTTCCTTTGAGTGGTATGGCAGCCAGGTACCGGAAGGGTATTACAGGTGAGAGATTTATAAGCAAGCTAAGCAAAACTTACCGAACCATCGAGGTGTCAAATTATGAAGCTAGACTTGAACACCGGTTACCCTTAACCAATTGTATTCTCTAGCTGATTGTAGCGTGTGCTGAAATCCGGATAGTGGTTGTTGTCTGTGTGTACTTTTTTCCTGTTTTGTTGGCACAACTCAAAAGCGACTAGGCAACAGGCATACTATTTTTCCAATCGATTGTCTTAGCCAACAGGCCAAGGGCGTGTCCCCATGTAAGTAGCTCTTTCATCCCTCAGTGTTTGCTCATCGCTGTTGGTCGATAGATTTCTCATGGATACACATGGCCTTGACAATGCGAAGGAAGTCAGGTTAGTGGTGGTGGCGGTGGTGATACGGAGATAGTTCAACGCCCAGGGCGGAGACCAAATCTTTGTTCTTCTCACTGGAATAGACGGACAAATACGGAGGCCGTGGATCAGCAACCTCCTCCAGACTAACTTAAGTTAGTGTAAAATCACCTTAGCGCACGTGCCATTTGATATATTTTGTTCTCACCTTCGCCAGAGGACATTTTGAGTCATTCGAATTTGTGCGAGTTTTTTTTAGGGAAATTTCACGATTCTTTACAATTCACAGTAGCCATTTGGACTCGGAAATAGTTGAATTTTAACCTTTGAAAGTATTGATTCCCTGAACACACGACCTTGAATGTTGCTAATGCTTGTGAATCCTAAATGACGAGTATCTTTAGATCTCTATCTGTCCTCTATCCTGTCGAATCACGTCTAACTGCCCAGATTTTCCTATTCTCGGTTTTATTCACTCACACATCTCAAAACCCCTGCAGATACAATTAAGTAGAACACTGGCCGAAATTCCAGTCACGAAAGTCTCCTAGACTGGTCTAGAAGATGTGAGCATTCGCTGGGCTTTAGATATCGTACTTTTTTCTTTTCGGTTTCATTTCTCATAGGACGAAAGGAGAGATTAATAATTCTTTCTTTATCCAGCAGTTTGGTCATGTCTGTTCCTGTCTCTATCGATAACTGTGATATTACTTAGCCATTCCTAGTGGATTTGGTTTTCTAACTATTTATTTCCTGTCGACCGATGGTCCACCCACCTCGCACGGAACACTAACCGTTGTTCACTTGTTTTCTATGGATAGACAATGATTCTTCTGGACCACAAGTCTCCAAATCACTCCTGTCATTTCGGATGAAATCGTTCGCCCTGTTGAAAACAGACGCCAAAGATTTGGCTGCCCATATGATTTTGTTTGAGACTTTTTTATCGGAAGCCTGACCTCCTCTGCAGCATGACTGCTTTGAGTTCTGTAATGTAAAACGAAGTTATTTCCGCCAAATACTGTCATCAGTATTCTCTATCATTCTCCGAATTCCGATTCGTTGATACCTTCGTTGGTTTAATCAAATATTAGGATTCCGAACTGAATTAGATTTTGTGATTTTGTGGCTCTCTCTCTTCTATGTTGCGACCACAAGTCTCCAAATCACTCCTGTCATTTCGGATGAAATCGTTCGCCCTGTTGAAAACAGACGCCAAAGATTTGGCTGCCCATATGATTTTGTTTGAGACTTTTTTATCGGAAGCCTGACCTCCTCTGCAGCATGACTGCTTTGAGTTCTGTAATGTAAAACGAAGTTATTTCCGCCAAATACTGTCATCAGTATTCTCTATCATTCTCCGAATTCCGATTCGTTGATACCTTCGTTGGTTTAATCAAATATTAGGATTCCGAACTGAATTAGATTTTGTGATTTTGTGGCTCTCTCTCTCTCTCTATGTTGCTACTTTATTATCCTCTTTCCCGTTACTCCCCACAGACTCCATGGAGCTCGGACCTTCTGAGTACTGCAAAAACAAACTCTATAGATTCCGCACCTATTCCTCCTACCTCTACAGCAAGTGACAGTCAGCTGAGGCTTGGCTCGGCTACAGCCACATTAGCAACTCGGGCCACCTTGGATGGCTTATTGACATCCTTGTGTGGCTCTCCGTCAGCCGAACTACCGACCAACCTGCTCTCCACCAACGTAGGAACAGCTGCTGGACTGACCGTCTATCCTATTCAGGTTTCGGCCAATGGCCCGACAGTTTTCATTGCTGCACCGAAAAATCAGTCCCCTCAAGGTCTAAATATATTGGGAGCCAATACTCTGCAGCTTGCCACTGGTCAGTCCTTAGTTCAGTGTCTGTCGTCAAACGCGATTTCTTCGAATTCCGTCCCTACCTCTTGCACAACTCCTGTCAGTCCCAGTACGCTCTTGTCAATTAATCCTGCCCCATTGAACAGCAGTCAAACTCTCACAGCTATTGCCTCCTCCCCACTGTCCACTTCGACTCCCCGAAACAAGCCAAAATTTAAGGCGTTGTGGGAAAATAGTGCACAAGGCGAAGGAGATCGGAGCTCTGTGGGAAATAACTCGGATTCTCTCAGTTCCGCCGAATCCACTCCCGCCCGACCGTCGAGCAGTACGGATGTGTTGACTTCCTGTGCTACTATCCCCGTGTCCAATCAGGGCACTCTGATGCGTCCGAATAACACGACTGCAACCAGACGACAATCACCTATGCTGAACGTCAAATCGATTGGGCAAACACCAAAGCGACTGGCTGCCACAGCTGCCTCACTGACAGACGAACAAAACTCGTTTGGCCAAGAGGGACCGAAAAAGCTGCTTCTGGTCTGTTCTCAACCCAAGCAACAATCGGCCACTCAGTCCAGCACTGATTCTGGCATTTCCTTGGCCTCCGCAGAATCTTTACTAACAAGAGTACTCCACGCACGCACTCTTGCTGGTACTGTGGTCTCCCGTGTGGAACCGGAAATCAGTTGGACCGCTGTGTCGCTCAATCCGACCAATTCATCGACCGATCCGAAAGCCGTTGTTGTTCCTTCCCAGCCGTTACTTGCTCCGGCCAATGTGTTCGTCAATGATCTGCGGTCAAATGTGTGTTCCAGCAATAATAATGTTCCATCATCGGACCATGACATGTCTTCTACAGCTCTCGGATCGCGTGTGGAAAGTGTCGTGAGCAAAAGTTTTGATGGGAGTCGCCGGCTAATGAAAGAGGAATCGGTAAGTGTCACTTGTTCTGTGTCAATGTTTGTAGTGGTGAAGTTGCTATTGTATTTTCCTGACTGTGGTACTATCCATAGTTGATACTGACGACTAAAAGATCGCTTACTGGACGCATGTCGTCCAAAGCTAGTTACGTCGGTCTACGAGATCGACCCTTCAAACTCCCGCAACCACCTACAACCAGTCAGAAAACACCTGCCAAGTTCGGAGTGTCTGTGGCGCTACCGACTGGCAAGTCCTGACAGATCGGCTAATCTATCGATCGACACAGCCAGAGCTGTTGCTGAGTGGTCCTTCGAATCGTCCAGCAAGTCGATCACATCGCTCAAGCGCGAACACGTCTGTCTGTCCAGACAGACATGCGCTGATGGGGCTGTGCTGATACGCTCGCATCGCATGCCAGACCTCCAGGTTTCAAACGAGCGAAAGTTCACTGCCGATGGACGAAGTGCGAGTTCGGTGCTTCTCCGCTTTGGTAGGGACTCCGTACAACATAGCTGGGCAGTCAAATTTCGGCAAGATCATGTCTTCTGCTGCGAACTCTACGCCATGCTAGTGTTTTTCCTACGAAAAAAACTCATCAACCGACCCCATTTTACCTACGGGTTTATAGGCAACAGTTGTGATATATGATCAGAAATAAACAGCCTGAGTTACTCATACTGTCTTGGTTGCCACAGGCAACGCAGTTACTCAGATGCTTATACCGTATGTAGGTCGAATGCACTCGCAAGCGCTTCTCATGGGTGCTGCGTGCGGGCCTTGTTATGCAAATCAGAATGACTCATCCAAACAACCAAGTGTCATCACTGATCGATATTTTGCTCACAAGCCTGCAAGAGCTTTCCCACACAACCGTAGGAGAACGCAGCTGGTAGGTTGTAAACAGCCGGTTAGTGGAATTCCGAAGCTCAGTTGTCAAGGTCTCCATCTTACTTAGAGCCACACGAAGCCACTTCAGGCGCGAGTGACTAACTCAGACTCATTTTTTACCGATTGCCGGATAATTAGATTCGATTCTATCAGCATCAGAACTGACCTTTTCCTTAATAGATGTCGTTCTTTATACGGGGCTCATCGGGCTTCATCTAGCAACATATCAGGAGGATTCGCTCTGTTTCCACGATGTTTAAGCGAATTTATCAGCTTACGAGTGAAACGAAAATGTCGCGCTTGCACCGTTTTTTAATCGCTTTTGTGTTTTTTCCACATTCTCGGTTAGGAGAGTAGTTATCAATTGGCTAATTCTGTGAGACAAATCTTTTCCGTCAGTTTTCTTCGGTTGTTCGAATGCAGACACAGTAAAACAAAGTAAACCGTCTGAATTTAATCGGTTATTTGATTTTCGGGTTTAATTTGAACTCCATCCGCTAAGCTATTGTCACCTGCATTTTGGGTATCCCCTGGAAGCATACATACAGTTTCTCTGTAATCTACTGTTGGGGATATCAATATCCCCCAGAAAACGCTGTTTTTATGTGTGCTAGCGAACTCCTGGCATCTTCAAGGTCAAACTATGAAAAATCAATGGCCTATTGATACTCCAAGAAAATTTAAATCCGACCACGTACAGGATACCATTCTTTCCACTGACTTGGGTTCGGAAGCTCCGGGCATCGCCTGTTGATCGTGTGTTGTTGGATTATTAAAGTTTGTGTCCGAGGTTCTCGTCTTCTTACTATTCGCCGTGCTAGGAGTCTGTATCAAGCAACATAGCTGGGGATAGAGTATTGCCACAATCCGCATTATCATATTGTTTGCTCGCTGCGTGACCGAACCGTAACACTACGGCATACCGTTACTGTACCTCACCAATCTGCATCTAATTTTCAGATCAATCACTGGACAAATTTGGCGTGACCCACTGCCGAAAAATCATCGCAGCCAGTTGTAGCCTTTGTACAACTTTGTTTTTGCCTTTCAAATGCTTGCCATTGGCACAACCGCTTCATCGTTTGCCTTTCACTTTTTGGTGGACTATGTCGCCTCTTGTTTTCCCCCATCATGTATCTCATCTACCGCGAGGCAGCGACAGTGTAGCGAATCGAAAGGATTGTTTGTTTGGCGAAATTCGGTGCTTTCCTGCGTCCATGCATCTGTTACGGGAATTGGCGCGCTGCTCGCGTAATTAGCAACGTACACCTTAATGCTTCTACTTCAGATTCTATATTCATCCCGACTTGTCAAAGGATTTGATATTTGCACAGTCTCCATTTTCTCTATCCTTAGTTGCCTACTCGCTTGGTAAGTTGGGTGGTCTTCTGTCTAATCCTTTGTAGGGTATTTTATCGCAGACTCGGTGCACATGTTTTGGTGGTCACGGGAGCGTTCAACGTTTGAACTTCTTGTTCATCACTTTGCGGTAAGTTTACACTGGCTATTCATCATACGTGTAGGTAATGACCTGTTTCACCTCAGCTGTGGTATCCGGGACCTATATAGGATATGCTGTTGTCGCGCTACTTGTGGAAATAAATTCAATCTTTCTACACATGCGACGGCTATTGAAATGCCTCGAGTTTCCGAAAGACAGTCTGTTTTCCCAGTTTGTGAACTATGCCAATCTAGGTGAGCCACATTCAGCGCATTTCTATCATTGCTTTAGATTATTCCTTGGATGTGATTTGTGGGTATTTAACCTCCGATTGATCCAAGTTCTGTCTCATTCACTCAGTCGTTTTTCCTTGTCAGCTTTTTTTATCAACCTCACATTTACACTTCAACACAGGATTTGAAACGTTTCCATTAGCTGGGTATCATTTAGTATCAGATCATTTGTTATAAACCAGACGCAGTTTTTTTCATTGTGGTCTCGTATTAAGGGGGAGGAAAGGACTAAGTGCTGATGTGTTTACTACATCGGGTAGTCATTGGGTTTATCGCCGTTACGAAGTCTCTGATGTACAAACTGGACAGTCTAGGCTCTCATGGAGCCAATCTTAACTTGAAAGGTGTTCCCCAAATGACCTTAAAGTGGTCTAAAGACTCATGGACCTTTGGGCTGAGCTGATCGCGTGTTGACGGCAACGCTGCTGTGGGTTGCTGAATGTCACTTTAGTCCTGTATTTCTGAAGGGAAACATCGTTTTTGGCTAAACCATCATATCAAGCTCACGCACTTCAGTCTGGTATATTGATTGGCTCATCTGCTGGCATTTAGTTCGGATATGCTCTTGTTCAATCCTACAGGAGTGCTTTTCCCTTCGTAGATGTGAGGCACATACTTAGTCGTGCACCAGGGCCAGATGGATTGCCTTGTACTGTTTGCGTTTCTGTAGAGTGTGACGCAAGAAAAGCTCTACCATCCAGTGTCAACAAGCAAACTCCCTGGAAGCGTTCTGATCTCAGAAGCTTCGAAAGTTGCAGTTGACTGTTATGCATTGGAAGGTTCCATAGGTGAAGTGTTTGATTTTAATTGAACTACATCCGAACATGAGTGTCACTTATGTGCATCTTTCGCATTTGATAATGATACTTTACGCTACTTTTTAACCTTTCTTCGTCCCAAGGTACCTTCATTGTGTTCCGCTTCCTGGTCCTATGTTGGATGACGCGCTGGCTGGTATTGAACCGAGATCAAATCAGTTTACCTTATTACTGTCTTGGAACTACGTGTTTGGCACTGATCATGTTCATGAACATCGTTCTATTCATGCGCCTTGTCCAGTCGGACGTACTGAGCAGGGATTCGGCAGTTGGAGCAGCTACTTTGGTTGCTTCAACTCACGTGACTACTAATTCGACCAGTGCTTTCAAACGGAAGACTGTCCATCAGTCTCATGATTCCCAATCGGTCTCATTGTGTGCTTCTGATTGAACACCTACCTCAGAGGTGCTACCGTAAACTTTAGTTCCTGCTCTCTTTGCCTCTCTCTGTCTACCCTTCTCTTTACCCATATGAGGGTTACTGCTATCGGTTATCCGACAATTACCACCCCTGTTGGGCATTGGGGCCGATCTTTATGGGGTGTCTATTTCAGTAGAGCGGCTTTTTAATTTTTTGTTTATGACCAGTATTAGCCTTCTCTACAACGACGCACAGCTCTGGGACTACTCTTCTTGATTTCTGGCAAATGCATTTCTTCAGTATATCACCTCGTTTGTGATGTTCTCATACAGTTCATCTACTACATGCAGCCTTGACCTCAGTTCAATCGAGAGAGAGAGAGAGAGGGATGGCCGTTTCTCTCCGAGTATATCTGCCATCAAGAAAGCCAGTCTGACCCTACCAGGACAATGTTCTGCCCACAGGAGTTCACAGGTGCATACATCTGGGACTGGCTGTAATATTCACTGTTATCATTCATTCCTATTGTCACTATTTTATTGTTTTCGCCGTTACTAGTCACATTTGCGATCTCTAAGAGGACCCTAATTTCGGTCTCACCTGGAAGAGATGGCAGCGCCGGTCACGTGAAGCTACTCCTGTGTTAACCACAACATCAGTCCCCAATCGACCGCACCTGAACATCCATACAGGGTCAAGTTTCTTGAAGTTGTCGCATGGACTGATCTAAACAGCTGTCCTAACGCCTTGTCACACGCCTCCCTCTCTCGTATGGAGTCTTTAGTGTACTGTCAAGAGTTCATCGGGGTTCAGCAATCGGAGAGTGCTAACCTCCTGGATGTAACCCTAAAGGCATCAAGGTGTGGACGTAATACACTGCTCATAAGGTTGCTGAAAACTATTCGACAGCCCACGACCGGTTTCTCCCTTCTTGGGGTTGGTTCATCAGGTAGGCGTGGTCCCCGAGTTTCCGTCAACCTTATGTTCTACTTGAACCCAAATTGGACAGATTTCGACGAATACACTCATTAAAAACATCCCAAACGGGAGATTCATCTGTGTCTCCCGTCAAAACCAAATTGATAAGCATGAAGATATATGTGATTATATTCCTGCTCGAAGGTGTGAATCACCCGATAGGTCTATCGATCAGTCGGAACTTCCTTTGTTTCATATGCTTACGACGTAAACATTGTCCGACGTGTGATCCC